TTATTTTGATATATCACAGTGAAAGATTTATCGTCCTCTTTTTTTTTTTTTTTTTTTTTTTTTTTAAAAAAAAAAAAAAAAAAAAAAAAAAAAAAAAAAAAAAAAAAAAAGATTTACTTTTTATTTATGTCTATCTGTATATGGGTAGGTGTGCATGAAAGTGTGGGTGTCCACAAAGACCATAGGGCATCAGATCCCCTGAGGCTGGAGTTACAGGTGGTTGTAAGCCACCTAATGTGGATGCTAGGAGCCAAACTGGGGCCCTCTGGAAGAGTAATTCATGGTCATTGACCACTGAGCAATTACTTTTCTAAAAATTTTTGAGACAGGGTTTCATGAAGCTCATAATGGCCTGAAACTCACAATGTAACTAAGGACGACCCTGAACTTCTGAGCAGAGGATGCTCTTGAACTGATTCTTTTCCCCACATCTTCTAAATGTTGAGATTACAGGTGTGTGCCACCATGCCTGCTTTATGCAGTACTGGGATTTGAACATAGGGCTTTGTACATGCCAGGTAAGCACTCTACCAATTCAGTTATATAACCACTTTCTCTTGTTTTTTTGAATTTTAGACAAGGTCTCACATCCCCCAGATGGCTTCAAACTAGCTACAAAGCTGAGGATGAACTTGAACACATGACCCTCCCTCCAGCCTCTATCTCTCAAGCGCTGGGATGACAGGCACATGCTACCACACATTTTTTAAAACTTATGGGGGGGGATGCACGTTGCTACAGTGCACAAACCTGTGTCAAACGATAGCTTGTTGGAGACAATTCTCTCCTATGCAGGTTCCAGGTATCAAGCTCAGGTTGCCAGGCCTCGTCAGCCCTCTTTTTCGTTGTTGTGTTTTATTTTTGAGACAGGGTCTTCCTGCAGCCCCAGCTGTCCTGGAACTCACTATGTAGACCAGGCTGGCCTTGAACTCACAGAGATCTACCTGCCTCTGCCTCCCAAGTGCTGGGATTAAAGGTGCGTGCCACCACACCCAGTTCCCTACTCTTTTCTATGTTCCTATTACTATTCTTTTCACATTGCAATGAAAAAGTTCCCATGGTGGAGCCCCAGAAATCCACAATGCTCATTCACCTCAGTTCTTTCCCCACGTCAGCATGCTGAGAATCCCCTAAGATCTCAGGAAGACTGGTGATGAAGTCATGCTGCAGGTTTACTGGAGCAACACTGATCAACTGCATCATCTGAGTGGTGAGGTCCTGCAGGGAGGACATTATTAGGATTGTAGCACATTACTCGAAATAAAAAACTACTTACTTGTGCCAGGCATGGTGGTGCATGCCTTTAATCCCAGCACTTGAGAGATTGAGGCAGAAGGATCTGTGAGCTTGTGAGACCTGTTGGAGCTATGGGAGACCCTGAATCAAAAAGACCAAAAAACAAAAAGCAAAACATGAACAAATAAACAACTACTTACTCGGGAAATACACTCCTGAAATTATTGTGTATATACCATGACCACAACAGACAAGTTCAAAAGTTTTAAGTTTTGAAGAACTTAAGAAGCAAATAGAGGCTGGGGAGATGGTGCAGTCAGTAATACCTTTTTTTTTTTTTTTTTCTTTTTTGAGACAGGGTCTCCCTATAGCCAGTTACTCACTAGCCTGGAACTCACTAGGTAGACCAGGCCTCAAACTCAAAGATTCACCTGCCTCTGCCTCCCAAGTGCTGGGATTAAAGGTGTGTACCACCATGCCCTGTTATAGAGTTTTTTCTTTACAAGCACAAGGATCTGAGTTCAATCACCACCAGAATCCATTTTTAAAAAATCCAGGCATGGTGGCATGCACTTTTAATCCTAGCACTGGGAAAGCAGAGAGAGGCAGATCCCTGGGGCTTACTGATCAGCCAACCTAGCCCAGCCCAGCCTATGTAGCAAGTTCCAGGCCAATGAAAAACTGTCTTCTTAGAAAAAAAAAGCTGGAAGTCACCTGAGGAATAACACCTGAGATCATGCTCGGTCTCCAGACACTCACAAATGCAAATGCGCGCGCACACACACACGCTTCTACATAAACACAAACCCATACACAGAGAGGAAAATGGCCTCCCAAAATTCACATAAAGGCTAGGCTCTCACTTTTCTTTTTAGTCTTTTTGGGAGAGGGTCTCCCTGTAGCCCCAGCTGTCCTAGAACTTGCTATGTAGAACAGACTGCTCTTGAACTCAGAGATCCACCTGCCTCTGCCTCCTGAGTGCTGGGATTAAAGGCATGTGCCACCACTCTCGGTTTAGGCTCTCACTGGAGTTATGGACAGTTGTTAGCTGCCATGTGGGTGCTGGGATTCGAAGCCAGGTCTTCTGCAAAAACAGTCAGTGTTCTTAACCACTGAGCCTTCTGCAAAAACAGTCAGTGTTCTTAACCACTGAGCCATCTCTCCAGCCCCTTAGACTCTCACTTTTAAGTCCAGCACATGTGAAGCAGAGGCAGGCATATCTCTCTGTGAGTTCCAGGCCAGTCTAGTCTACATAGCAGGTTCCAGTCCAGCTTCAAGTTAAGTGGCAGGCTCTACATTCCAGCCCAAATGAGACTCCAAAACTCATGTTTTTCTAAATGATTCTCCTTAGAATGTTTGCCAAAAATAAGAATCAGGGCTGGGGAGTTGTGCTGCTCTTGTAAAGGACTTTGGATCAGGTCCCAGGACCCATGCTGGGCAGCTCACAACTGCCTGTTAACTCCAGCTCCAGGTGGATTCAGCCTCTGATTTCTGTAAGCACCAAAATATACAAGTACATACCCACACATACATACACATGATTAAAAATAACATGATAGGGCTGGAGAGATGGCTCAATGGTTAAGAATACTGGTTGTTCTTGCAGAAGACCAAGGTTTGAATCCCAGCACCCACATGACAGTTAACAACTGTCCTAACTCCAGTTCCAGGGGACCCAACAACCTCTTCTGTCCTCCGTGGGCATTGCAAGACACGGGTACACTTACCTACACACAGGCAATACACACATACACATAAAAATAATAAATATTTAAAAAAATAAAATGGGCCAGGCCTGGTAGTGCACGCCTTTAATCCCAGCACTCAGGAGGCAGAGGCAAGCAGATCTCTGTGAGTTCAAGGCCAGCCTGGTCTATATAATGAGTTCCAGGACAGCTGGGGCTACAGGGAGACCCTGTCTCAAAAAAGACCAAAAATAAAATAAATAAAATAAAATAAAATAAAATAAAATGAATCTGCTAAAAAAAAATTTACAAGAATCATCTTAAGAACATCTCAGAAGATGGGAATGGTGATGCATACCTCCAACCCAGCACATGGGAGGCAGAGGCAGGAGGATCACAAGTTGCAGGCCAGCCTAGCCTACAGATCCAGGCCACCTAGAACTAGATAGTGAGACCGTTTAAATTTTTACTTTATTTTATTTTTTTGTCTTTTTGAGACAGGGTCTCCCTGTAGCCCCAGCTGACCTGGAACTCGTTATGCAGACCAGGCTGGTCTTGAACTCAGAGAGATCCACCTGCCTCTGCCTCCCAAGTGCTGGAATCAAAGGCGTGTACCCCCACACCCAGCAAAATGCATAGCCCAGGCTGGCCTTGAACTCATGATCCTCCTGCCTCTGGCTCTTCAGCATATCCTACTGGGGTGCGCCACCACAACTGGCCGTTTAAAATTTTTATAACTGGGTAAGTTTGTCTTTTCAAAAGATTATTTGGGGAGCTGGGTGTGGTGGTGACCACCATACCTTTAGTCCCAGCACTCATGAGGCAGAGGCAGGCGGATCTCTGCGAATTCGAGGCCAGCCTGGTCTCCACAGTGAATCCAGGCCAGCTGCGGCTACAGGGAGACCCTGTCCAAAAAGACAAAAGAAGAAAAAAAAAAAAAAAAAAAAGATTATTTGGAGATAGGGAAATGGTTCAGCAGTTAACAGTACATACTGCTCTGGCAGAGGAACCAGGTTCAGTTTCCAGCACCCACATGGTGGCTCACAACCTAGTTAACTCCAGTTCCAGAAGATCTCATGCCCTCTACTGGCCTCTGTGGGCCTCTGCATGCATGCAGTACACTAACTCAGGCAAGCAAACTCACATACACATAATTTTTTAAAATTATTTATTGGGGCTGGAGAAATGGCTCAGTGGTTAAGAGCACTAGCTGCTCTGGCAGGGGACCCAGGTTTGATGCCTAGCACCCAAGTGGCAGCTAACAGCCATCTGTAACTCCAGTTCCAGACAATCTGATGCCCTCTTCTGACCTCCACAGGCACTGCATGACATGGGTGCACTTACATACATGACGGCAATACACTCATACACAAAAAATAAAAATGTTTTTAAAATTATTTACTTTAAATAAATTTTTTAAAATGCAAAGAAAAAAAATATTTATTAATGTAGGTACGATGTGTGTAGGACGGCATGAGCGTACCACAGAGCATGTGTGGTCAGAGGACAACTTTATGAAGTCATTTCTCTCCTTCCACTTTGACATGGATTCCAGGGATTAAACTCAGGTCCTTAGGCTAACACAACAAGGGCTTTACCCTCTGAACTGTCTTACTAGGCCCGTCTTTTATTTATTTTTTAATCAGAATAGGGGTTCTCTACAGTACCATCTGGCTACAAACAACAGATCTTACCTCCTCAGCCTCCCACGTGCTGGGATTACAGGCATACACCACTCAGTCTAAGCTTCTTTTTCAGAATAAATTTAAAGAGTCAAATAAATATTCAGGATGTTCAAACTGTGAAATCTGGATAAAGCTAACAGACTGATGGAAAAATGTGCTTTTTTTCATTTAGAAAGAAGGAAATAAATGGTACAAATTCCAAAAGTCTGGCCAAAGATGAAAACCATTTTTATTTTTTTGAGACAAGGTCTCACTATGTAGTCCAGGCTAGCTTCAAACTTAATCTCCTTGCTTCTTCCCTTTAAATGCTGAGATTACTGGAATATACCACCACATCTAGCTAAAATCTTTTTAAATTGATACTGATAAATCCCCAAAACCTACCTTGCTGTCCACAATTCTATCAAGCCATTTTAGTTGATTGATAATAAGTAGAGACATATTGATTCCATCACTGTTTGTGCTGAAATGGCAAAAGGAGAAGGAACTTAGCTGTCTCTTTCCCTTTGCCACCTCCTTCTTCCTCTCCCTGTGTCAAACTTTTTTTGGGGGGTGGGGGAGGGTTGGGTACCAAGCGACTTACACATGCTAAACAGGTGCTCTATTACTGAGCTATATTCCCAAGTCCTGACTTTAAATTATAATTTTTAAATTATATTAACAGCAAGCTTTAATACTACACAATATATTTCAGCCAGTTGCTTAACATACTGTGTACTTACTAGTCATTGGGAACTGTGATAGATATATGAGTGATATTTAAAAGCCAGGGGTTGGAGAGATGGTTCAGCAGTTAAGAAGTTAAGAACACCTGCTGCTCTTGCAGAAGACTTGGGTTTGGCACACACCCAAATTGGACTCATAATCATTTTAACTCCAGTTTCAGAGGATATGACACCCTCTTCTGGCCTTCAAGGACACTTGTACACATGTAGTGCACATACATACACTCAGGCACACACACATACACATAAAATAAAATGAATGCATAAATCTTTTTTTTTTAAAGACATATGCTTATATACAATGAAAAAGATGCCTAGAAGAAAATACACAAACTGTTAACAGTGGCTATAGCCAGGGATGTTTCAAAGAGAAGGGAAAACAGAGCTAAGTAGTTATCTCTTAAAAATAATGTGACTGCATGAATGGGGGCATACACTATTCATCATCAACATGAGGGAGGAAAGGCAGGTGATCTTTGTGAGCTCAAGGCCAACCTGATTTGCATAGAGAGTTCCAGACCAGCCAGAGCTACATAGGTAGATCCTGTTTCAACAAACAAACAAACAAAAAAACAAACAAAAGCAAAAAAGTAACTGTACTAGATGTGGTCACATATGCCTTAAATTCCAGTATTTGGGAGGTTGAGGCAGGTAGTGCATTGAAGGTCAGCCTGGCCTGCATAGTGAGTTCCAGGTCATATGGTGTGATTCAATCTCAGAAAGGAAAAAAAAAAAAAAAAAGAAAACCAAAGATTTTGGTGTATGTGGTCATGTGTGCACAAGGAGGCCAGAGATCAACACACCAAGGGTTTTCCTAAAGAAATCACACTCTACCATATTTTTTGAGACACAGTCTATCACTAAACCTGGAGTTCACTGATTCAGCTAGAATGGATGACCAGCAAGACCTAAGAGATCCTCCTGATTCAACAGTATTTGGAGACTGACGCCAGTCAATTGGCTCCCTCCTTGGAAACAATCATTATTACCAATTTCTTATGCATCCTTCTAGGAATAATCAACATATAATAAGCATGTATGATATTCTTAACAATAATCTAAATTTGTATTCAGTAATAGATAAAATTCAAAAACAAGGGCTGGAGAGATGGGTCAGCGGTTTGAGTCCCAGTACCCACATGGCAGCTGACAGCTGTCCGTAACTCCAGTTCCAGGGGATCCAACAGCCTCTTCTGTCCTCCACAGGCATTTCACTACATGGGTACACTTACCTACATCCAGGCAGTGCATATAAAATTTTAAAATAAAAATAAAAATAAAGAAATTCAAAAACAAACACTCCAATGAAACTTTGGCAGTCTTAAGTACCTGGCATTGTCAACATGACTGTATAATGTCTGTCTCAGAGCAACCTTTCCAGAGAGAAACTTAAAACATTTCAAAATAACTCCACTTACTTTTCAAAAAGAAATTGTGGTACCTTTTCAAATAAGATTTTGATAATGGCAGGCTAAAAAAAAAAGATATGCAGAGTTAGGAGATGGTCTCAAAATATACAACAGAAATGTGTAATTATTTGCTCTCAGGTCAAAACAGCAAACAGGCCTGTGATCCGGCCAATGATCCAACAGTACTGGAAAATGCTATTGCAATACTGAAGAATTCAGTAAACTGGGGTTCATGTGGTATGATGCAATGCAGGAGGATGAAATAAAGAAGTCATAAGGTAGCATCTTGGGAGCTTTATAAGGACAGGATGTTTTTTCAATTAAGACAGCACTGTGCCGAACCATGAAGCATCAGATCTTGCCTGAAGAGCAGTAGACAAAATATGAGGATAAGTTCTACATAAAAGAAATCATTTGAGAAAGAAAATAGATAAATGAATGGGCAAAGAAGTAATCTACTTAAAATCTGTGGAGACGCCTGTTCTCAAAGTATTTTTATGAAATAAGTTAAACTTGAAACACAATTTAAGAATTATTTGATCTACAGATGGCTTATTTTAATGAAATGCCTATAATAATCATTAAGAAAAGAAATGCATAATTAGTCAGAAATAACTCCAGAGTTCTTGAGGAAAGACCCTGTTATAATTGATATCTTCTTATAAGAATGCTCACAGGAGAGGCTGGAAAGATGGTGTAGCAGTTAAGAGCACTTGGTGCTACGGAGGAGGACCCCAGCTTAGATCCCAGCACCCATATCTGGCAGCTCATAACTCCAGTTCTAGGGCATCCAACTCCCTCTACTGGGCCCTTTGGGCACTGCTGGAGAAATAGCTGATCTTACACAGGGCCTGGGAGCAGTTCCAAGTATCTATATGGCAGCTAACAACCATCCTTAACTCCAGTTCCAGGGGACCTACCTGATGTCCTCTTCTAGGTTCCATGGGTGCTGCCTGCATGTGGTGCACTTACATACATAAAGGCAGAACACACACATAAAATAAAAATAACCAAAAACTTATTTTGGTCTTGAGACAGGGTCTCCCTGTAACCACAGCTGGCCTGGAGCTCACTATGTAGACCAGGCTGGCCTCGAGCTCACAGAGCTCTGCCTGCCTCTGCCTCTTGAATGCTGGGATTAAAGGTTTATGCCACCACACCTAAACTTTCACTTTTTTCTTTTTTTTTTGGTCTTTTTGAGACAGGGTCTCCCTGTAGCCTCAGCTGTCCTGGAACTTACTATATAGACCAGGCTGGCCTTGAACTCACAGAGATCTGCCTGCCTCTGCCTCCTGAGTGCTGGGATTAAAGGCATGTGCCACCATGCCCGGCATACACATAAAATTTTTTAAAAATTAAAAAAGAATGCTTGGAGGCTGGGAGAGATGGCTCAGTAGTTAAGAGCACTGGCTGCTCTTGCAGAGGACCTGGGTTCGATTCCCAGCACCCACATGACAGCTAAAAACTGTCCTTAACTCCACTTTCAGGGGATCCAACACTCTCTTCTGACCTCCAAAGGCACCGCACAAAATGCAAGCAATAGACTCACACACATAAAATAAAAATAAAATATTTTTAAAAAATATTTTAAAATTGCATCCCTGCGTGGGCACGGCCATGGCCAGGGTTTCAGGTGAGTCCAACACCCAAGTTCCTGAGGCCAAAATCATTCTTAGAAGATTCCAGACCTAAGGAGAAAGTCTGAAAACTTCTGACCCACATTG